ATAAACCTAATCGAGCTGCGGTCAACACTACAAAATTTGCTACCGTCTACGAAACGTGATCGCCGGCGACAAACGGCCAGCGTGATGTTTCTGAACACAGCCTGATTCGCTTGATATTGTCTTGCGATACCATGCCGAAATCTGTCTCTAATTATATCAGCTATAAGGATCACAATTGATAAGTTGAGAGCTGTGTTGTATGTATCATAGACTGTTTACTACAACTAGTTTATTATAGACAATTTTTTTAAATGTATTAACAAGTGACTCTCATCCTTAGAGTACGTTAAATGCCTATAACCAACAGCCTCTGGGCAGTTTATATTTACATTTAATAATATTCTCTAGACCGATTTTCGGTTACGGCAGCCAACTCTCAATAGAGACTAAGCACCTGTGCAGGTCAGGAATATAGTGCGTGTGTGTGAGCTAGCACAGGTGCACTCTCTATTTCCTTACTCGGATGACTCCAATGGGACGACAATCTAGCACGACCAGAGAATCGGCGCAGGAACAATAACATTACGTGCTTCCCGAGTCACGGGAGAGAAATACAGACAACTTCCTGACCCCGGTGTGCTACTAAGAATTTCTTGAAAGGAAAACCCAATAATTGATCTTAAAAATAATAAAAATATTAATTACCTTTCAACCTTCCGCCAACTAAATACAATGATGTGTCTTACCTGGATTGGAGAGTACCTCCCGCCCTCTCTAAATTGCATGCACTAACTCCGTCACCACTAGTCCCAGCACCACTACTTTCAACACCACTACTCCCGGCACCACAATTTCCAACACCACTATCTATTCCAGGTAAGACACCATCGATGATAATACGACACGTGTTTCGCCTCTACACGAGGCATCCTTATGAGATGTAGACTCTACGGCGGCTGACCTCCAAGTATTTATTATAATGGATTTCCGCAAAGTAACGCCTGATTCTATCAATTGATCATTGCCATGATTTTAGATTTGAACTCGGGACCACATGCTCAGCGGTCTAGCTTACGATAACTAGACCAAGGTCTAGTGTCGTTTTTTTACATTATAAGTCAAGTTGTTTTATAATTTAAATTACAATTTAAATTAAAACTTTAATCGAAGTTATATTAACGAAAAATATCGAAGACATGGTAAGTCTGCTAGTACGCATAGGGGCAGCGCAGTAGTCTCTTCGGCTAGCAGTGTTTAACGTTTTAAATATTTTTTACGTGGTAGAGCCATCATCATCATCATCATTACAGCCCTTCACAAGTCCACTGCTGAACATAGGCCTCCCCCAAGTAACGCCACAAAGCACGGTCCTGAGCCACCTGCATCCATCGACTTCCTGCATATCTTACCAGGTCGTCACTCCATCTAGTGGGGGGTCGCCCTACACTACGCCTACCGGTACGAGGCTGCCACTCGAGAACCTTTCTTCCCCAATCGGTTATCGGTTCTTCGAGCTATATGGCCGGCCACTTCAGCTTATAAATCCGTTGGGCTATGTCGGTCACTCTGGTTTTACTGCGTATATCCTCATTTCTGAGTCTATCACGCAGATAAACTCCGAGCATAGCCCTCTCCATAGCTCGTTGAGCGACCTTGAGCGTCCTCATACGGCCAGCGGTGAAGGACCACGTCTCAGTTCCGTAAGTCATCACTGGCAACACGCACTGGTTGTTGCACGGTATAGGTAGGCCATGCTGCAGCTATATTGTGATTGTAGCACGAATGGATCGGCTCGAACGGAGAAAAACCACGCTCTCATAACTACCAGCGTAAAATAGCAGCTCAATGTTTCTGTTTCGTATAGTGAGTGTAGAGACCCTTTTAACATCCAGTAAAGTAAGAAGCATTCCATCTTAGTCCTCAGGGGTGACATGGATGGTTGCAGATGTCTATGTGCTACATCATTCACTTACCATTAGGTGGACTGTGTGCTCGTTTGACACCCTTATTAAAAATAATATTTAATGTATTTACACAGATCAACGATTATAATAGATTGTTAAATGCATTCCTGAACTATATGACATTAATATTATTTGTAATAATTTCATTGACGAATCGTCAGTTATACTTTGGTGGATGATTATTATTGTTAATTACACATTCGTACATTCGTGATCTGTTCGAAATCATACTTACTACGTGTGTCTTATTTAAAAGCTTTCATCCATGTTGTCCTACAATATTTTTTATTTATTTATGTATGTGTGAAATACTGATTATATAATGGTGACACACGAACACACACATATGATGTAATCCAGAAATACCTATGTAAATCTATACTCTATTAAAAATCAAAATGCAGATGCGTTTTACCTCTGAAGACTAGGATGGAATGACTCGTTAAGAGTAAAATGGGTTTCCGGTTTTCAATACTCACCATGCGAAGCACGGTAGCATTATTTTATCGCTGGTATGCTGAGCGAACGTGGTCTTTCCCTGGCGCAACAGACCTATTTATCCTACATAACCGTAACCGGTACAAATATAAAATAAGAAAAGGTAAGGTAATATTTTTGGGGTCCTATAGTTTTTTATTCTGAGCGAGTATGGTCATTTCCGGGTCAAGCCGACCCGGGTTGTGTAAAAGTTGACTACTAAATGTGTTACCTCTGTGTGTGTGTCTCTTTGTAATATTGAAATTCTGGCTTCTATTGAGCTCAGAAAGTTATTCTATTTTAAAAATGTTTGTCCGTCGGACTGTCCGAGCTAATCTTCGGAAAGGCTAAACCGATAGTGATATTTATGATGATGATGATATGTTGTGATACGAGCAGATAGAGAGCGATGCCAGGAGTGAATTCGATTAAAAAAACGATAAATTTATATAATGATCTTAGGTTATCTCAAATATTAATAGCGTCACTGCTTAACATAGTCCTCTTCTAAGGAATGCCACAAAGCACGGTCCGAAGCCACATGCATCCATCGACTTCCTGCATATTTTACCAGGTCGCAATTTCATCTAGTGGAGGCCCTATGTTCAGCAGTGGGCTTGTAAAGGGCTGTAATGATGACGATGCATCTTCCCTGTTGGACCTTCTGCTGACATCTCATCCGGACTGATATCAGGTTTCCGATCGGAGAATGAAGGTCATAGTAGACGGTGCATGCTCTGATTAAAAGCCTATTAACGCTGGTGTTCCACAAGGCTGCGTGCTATCACCGACGCTGTTTCTTCTGCATAACAATGATATATTGCAAACTGGCAACATTTATTGTTATGCAGACTGACAGACATTGGCCGTGCCAATATTTCTCGGTAAAACGTCGCCGAGTATCCGGACAAACTTGTGTCTGAAGTTGAGTTTTTGAACAGAGTTGCTGAACAAAGTCTCGGATTGGGGGTGACTAAATCTAGTCCAGTTCAATCTCCAGAAGAGACAACTTTGCGCGTTTACCGCGAAAAAGAACCCCTTTGTCGTATCTCCTCAGTTTCAAGGAACTCCTGTTGTTACCTCAGCTAGCAGCAGAATCCTCCGCGTCGATATATCGAATAGTGTGCAGTTTCGTGGTCACTTGGAAGGGAAGACCAAATTGGCCACCAAAAAGCTTGGCGTGCTCAGCAGAGCGAGACAGTATTTCATGCCGGCACATTGCTTGCAACTTTACAAAGCGCAAGTTCGACCTCACATGGAATACTGTCCTCATCTCTGGGTCGGGGCACCCCAGTGCAACCTCCTTTCTCTTGACCGCATCCAGTACAGAGCGGTTCGAATCGTCGACGGCCGAGTTCTTTCTGATCGGCTCCATTCTATGGCGTTGCGCCTGCGTAGGGATGTTGCGTCCCTTTGCATTGTCTATCACATCTACTACAAGGTGTGCTCTGAGGAATTGTTAGGATTAATTCCAGCCGCCAAATTTCACAAACGCACATCGCGTCAAAATTCACAATACCATCCTCACCATGGGTGCTTGGCGGTTCACCACTGTGCGTATTACTAGCAGTTTTCTTCCTCGTACTTCTCTATGGAATTGTTTATCACCGGCGATTTTTCCGGACCGATACGACTTAGGGACCTTCAAGAAACCTCTTTTCTTAAAGGTCCCTTAGTCGTATCGTATCGGTCGCTGAACGCAACTGCAATACCCATGGTGTTGCTGTTGTTCATGCGTAGTAACTTATCCTCAGGTGAGCCGCATGCTCGTTTGCGCCCACTTCTATAAAAAAGATGGTGATGAAACAACGCCACATCAATAGATCGTAGATACAAAAAGCAATATTTTCAACTCTCTAAATGTTAAATCTAACTAAATGTTTTAGAGTCAAACTAAGTTTCTTTTAATATTCGTTACGAAAAATTACTCGCTTGTTTAGAAGTATGCCAAAATCGAGACGTCAGCCATTTAAATTATATTATATAAAAAAAACTCAAATTTATGTATATCGATATAATTAGCAATAGTAAAAACCGTGTAGCGTTGGCGTAAAAGCATCTTCTATCGTATATCAACCCGCGAATGTCGTACGAGGCAACATAGGGAAATGGAAAATGGAAGAGAAGGTAGATGGGCAGCAGTATCTTACATCATCATCACAAAATAAAAATCACAACTCATGAATTATAAAACTGCGATTGTGTGTTGCGGCTATATGGCTGTTGGAGAGGTCTTTTTTCAGCTGTGAATTTTTAACAGACTGTGAACTAATGAATGAACGAGTAGGAAATAACTTCTCAAGAGGTGTTATATCCTTTGATCCATTGATATATTGCCAGTTAGGTTTCATAATGGGCCCCACGCGATATCGGAGTTGCATTGCAATAGCGACGACGGGTTACTTTTTCCAGTTCGCTCCATTTATTTAGATTCACGGTACGATAAATCAACGCTTTAAACGCAATTTTATACCAATTGAATTCAAAACACGCACAGCAATCGCGACGTGGCGGTTTAGTGGCGGCCACATCGGAAACAAGCGGGAGCTTAATCTACGTCAGCCGTCACCGGAGATGCATGGTCGTATACACGTACAGGGGGAGATTCGCAACGCCCAATTATCTCGCGGATCTAATGTATGTATGTGCGTAAATCCATTCATATAGTTTGTCATTCAAGTCTTTACAGATTTTGTTGCATGAGTACTGATACACTTCTATTGGTATTACGTACATAATAAATATAATGTACATAATTATGTACTCTAGTACGTCGCTGCTACACAGATCATCTCCGATGTTATCAGGACGCAGGACGTGTTTTGTCTCTTTATCAACTTCAAACTGTGATGAAGGTTGCAAAATTGGTTACAGATACATGCTTTTTTGCATTATGATTTCTTTAATAGCACTATAACTATCACACTATATAACTATCTATGACTGCCTCATTGGTCTAGTGGTTGTAGTAGTGCGACTGCTGGTCATGAGGTCCTGGGTTCGAATCCCGGGTCGGGCCAAAAAAACTAATTATTGAGTTTTTCCGTCAAGAAATTCTCAGTAGTTGCCCGGAGTCAGGAAGTTGGCGGTGTCTCACCCCCGTGCCTCGGAAAGCACGTAAAGCCGTTGGTCCTGCGCCTGATCTCTCTCCGGTCGTGTCGGTTTTAATTCAAAACACGCACAGCAATCGCGACGTGGCGGTTTAGTGGCGGCCACATCGGAAACAAGCGGGAGCTTAATCTACGTCAGACGTCACCGGAGATGCATGGTCGTATTCACGTACAGGGGAGATTCGCAACGCCCAATTATCTCGCGGATCTAATGTATGTATGCGTAAATCCATTCATATAGTTTGTCATTCAAGTCTTTACAGACTTTGTTGCATGAGTACTGATACACTTTTATTAGTATTGATATAGTTATGTACTCTAGTACGTCGCCGCTACATAGATCATCCCGTGGGTGTCGTGAGGGGCGACATAGTTCAACTGAAACAGGTGATGGGCAGGAACATCATCCCAATAAAACTCGATGATAATAAAAGAATTGAGGTTGTCAAATTGGTCACCAAGCATAATGATTTCTTATATTTACGCGAACACTACACATTTAAATAACACTAGTTTTTACGAATTTTATCGCGTATATTTAACTTTTTAAATACCCGACGTTTCGAGCACTTTACACATCTCAGTCCCCCCCGTGATAAAATCCGTAAAAACTAGTGTTATTTAAATGCTTACCAAGCATATGTACTTTGGCAAATGTCCCACATTTTTTTTAATAGAATAAGTGTGACAAACGAGTACACAGTCCACCTGCCGGGCTAGCATGAGCCGGAGAGAATATATCCCCGGAGAGAGGATATAATTTTATCCCTTGCTTAGTTTTATCCACCCTGCGAGCATGAGCAAGAGACAAAAAATTATATCCCCCGATTATATCCACTGACAATAGATAAAATTACCTTATCTCTATAGTATATCCCCGTTTGACATAACGAGTGGACATATATCTCCCCGTCCGTAGCATGGGGCCAAGGGAAAGAGAAAAAATTATCCCTTTTTGACATTTGAAAGGGACAATTTTATCCTCTTTCGCGGACGTGGGTTTAAGTTTATCTTCAAACCATTTTAATACAAAAAAAGATGTCTCGAGCCTATTACAACTACATTTTCGTGTCAGAAATTGAAAAACAAGAAAGAGAATTACATCAGCGATCGATACGTGATCAGAATACTTAATCTATTGGAATTCTCCGACAACGAATTTCTACGCCGGTTTCGGATGCTCAAAGATTGTTTTGTATTTGTGTAAAGAACTCTATGAGGCTTTAAAGCCTATTAATTCTGTGGATGGACTACCAGTGCATATTGAAGTAAGCATCTATTACAACCACCTTGTTCAAAAAAGTCTCAATAGCTCAATGCCATGATTTAATTACATAGGTTGTGTCAACAATACCCAAGGCGAGTCCATGGTCAAGTCAAATTTAATGATAATAGAATCGGTTTATACTATATTTTAGGTAAGTATTATAACGTTTTAAAATAAAGTTATCAAACTTAGTAAAGTTACAATTCAAAGGTTTAAATTAAGAAATATGTTAATTCTTTAGCAAAGCTTGCTAAATATACTATACTCTTGATTATAAAATTATTTATTCCTTGTTTTGTTTGAAATCATTACATTTTTATTCTTCATGCTTCATCATTTTCAATTAAAATTAAATCTTTGTGACTTAGAATAGACATCAATTTTGATGTACTTTGTAATTTTCTTATAATGGCAGTAATTGCGGGGATATACTTTTTTTAATTTCTTCAAGAGGTTACACCACTTCCAAAGGGTCTGTATTGTCCAGTTTCACAATTGGCTTAATTCTAAACACATATTTTTTAATAAATGCTATCACAAGCTAAGTAATACCTGCGATTTGATACAAGCAATGTATATTTAACTTAAATATTATACAAAAGAAAATAAAGAAAGAATTAGAATAATAGAAAAAATAAAAACAAGGCAGAAATACGCTTAAAATAAATATAACAAATATTATAAATGACATATTGTGACATATTGTGTAACAAAAATTATGAACAGTTTAGCAATATAATAAACAAAAGGTAAAAGAAAATATAAGTTAATGTAAATCTACTTAATCTTAAAACTAGTTTATAGCTAGTATAGTTTATAGCTTTATAATATGGTATATTATCTATGCGCGGGGATAAGTTTATCTACTGTCGATATTATATCCACCATAGGCCCATGCTCGCAGGGTGGATAAAGCTTTGACATAGGGATAAGACAATTTTATCCCTTGTCAGTGGATATAATCGGTGGATAAAATTTTTATCCCCTGCTCATGCTAGCCCGGCTGATGGCAAGTGGATGCCGTGGCCCATAGACAACCACACCTAATCTCGACTAAGAGTCAAAATGCAGATGCGCTGTCACCCCTCAGGACTAAGATGGAATGCCTCGATTCCAGTAAAACGGGTCTCCGGTTCTCTATAATCACCATACGAAACATAACATCATTACGCTACTATTTTACACTGGTATTCTGTGAGAGCGTGGTCCTTCCCCGGTCGAGCCGACCCATTCATGCTACAATCATAATATAGCTGCAGCGTGGCTCTACCACGTCTATACAGGATACCTATATTCAGCTGAGGAATTTTCATAAGCTATAATGAGTGAATTAATTAATATTATGTAACCGTTCCAGAGTATATTTAACCTTTATTTTTAAGCATAAATACTCAATAATGATTAACCGATTCAGGCATATAACTATAAGCAAAACCTTAGAAACCTGTTTGCTTTGTTGTGTGCATGCAGTGTGCTATAATTTCAAAATGAGATTTAACTTACTGCAAATGCGGCCTAATGATAATCCTGTTTCTCTTGTTCAACATTTCGCTATCGATTGACAATGAATTGATAATTACATAGTAAAGCTGCAACTGTAGTATGGCTGTAATCTTAAGGGTCGGCTGGTTTAGGTGTTTTCTATGGTTTGTGAGAACCGGAGATCCTTATTACTGGAGACGAGGCATTCATCTTAATCCTCACGGGTGACAACGCATCTGTATTATGATTCTTAATCGAGAATAGATATAGATATCTATGGGCCACAACATCCACTTACATTAGGTGGACTACGTGTTGGTTTGTCATTATCGTCACTCTTATTCCATAAAATTATATTGAAATAATATTTTTTGGAACAAAATTGTTTTTATATATGGATTCGCAATTCAATTTCTTATCACCTTTCTTTGTAAGAAGAACGAACGTTCCTTTTTAAGAAGAATTAAGAAGATAAACAAGATTTGCAGTTTTGTCTATATCGTAACTGAACTAAAAACAACAAACCAATTACCCACTTATATCGACTAATTAATGCTTTTAACGCTTCGTGCACAACCACCTCACAATTACTTGCAGTCAAATGAGCACAGTAGCAGACATGAACGCGCATGTGGGTGTAACGTGTAACATAGGTGCATTCGTGTCGTAACCCCCGTATATTGGAGCAAGGTATTCTGTCAATTATCGGCTTGTTAGGGCCTGATCGATCCTCGCGTTCTAAGCTGCGTCGTAACTTCGCTAAGTTAATGTGTCAGTTGCAGTGGGGTCAACAGGCGGGCCTCGTCCTGTTCTCCTCTTGTAGGTACCTACTCTGTGCCGTACGCACGTTACTAAGGCGAGATTTAGTGTTACAAACTTACAAAGTGTCTGATGAATCATGAATTACTGTGTTTACTGGATCATGTATTTGATTAATTTTAGTTGAATCTAAAATAAAGCCCGTTTGTATTAACATATTATGCTTAAACTTTCAAACAAATCTGTTGCAGACATGTATAAATCAATATCTCAGAACGAAATAGGCGACTGACTTGATGCTTTCTTTAGGCCGTAATATTAAATAGGTATTTAATTTATACATTAGTTATTATTTATTTCTTATATTTACGCGAACACTACACATTTAAATAATACTAGTTTTTATGGATTTAAGCGATAAAATCCGTAAAAACTATTGTTATTTAAATATTATTTATTAATTATTATTTTGATACTTTATTAAAACATGCATAAAATACAAAATGTTTCACACTTATCTTAGATTTATATTGCATTTTGCATTTAGAAACTAGTAGTTTCACAGAGAGGTTAGCTAATTCATCTATACAGATAAATAAAAATCTTACCTTATGTTTGAGGAACGACAGGTCTCTGACGGGGACATTTCGTCTGGTGACTTTGAGTTCATTTTGCAACACTTCCATGGTTGATATGTCTTGGAAGCCATGTTCTTTGAGAGCTAAGCAAGTGCGCTGTACTTGTTCTATGCATGGTGAAAATGAACAGAAGCGGCCACCTGTGGACAATTTTTAAAAAATGTGGAGATAGTTAAAGACTTTATGTGATAGAGCCACGCCGCAGCAACATTTTTGTTGCAGCATGAACGGTTCGGTTCGACCAGGGAAAGACCACGCTCGTACAGAATACAAGCGCAAAACAGTAGCATAATACTGCTGTGTTTATGTATTGTGAGTCCGTCTCCGTCTCAGTCCTTAGAGGTCTCTAAGCATTTGCATTTTCATTTTTAATTGAGGATAGACGTGTCTTGGCTACAGAATCCACTTATTATCACGCAGCATATATTGTGGTTGTAGCACGAATGGGTCGGCTCGACCGGGTAAGGACTAAGCTCTCACAGAATACCGTATAATATTTTATAAGCGGTAGAGCCATGCGGCAGTTATATAGTAGTATAGTTGCAGCACGAATGGGTCGACTCGACCGGGGAAGGACCACGCTCTCACAGAATACCAGCGTAAAATAGTAGCTTAATGCTGCTGTCTTTCGTATGGTGAGTGTAGAGAATCGAAGACCCCCTTTACAAGAAACGAGGCATTCCATTTTAGTCCTCACGCGTGACAACGCATCTGCATTTTGATTCGTAATCGAGGATAGATGTAGATGTCTATGGGCCACAGCAACCACTTACCATCAGGTGGACTGTGTGCTCGCTTGTCACCCTATCCTATAAAAAAATACCAGCGTAAAATAACAGCTTAAATACAGTGGTGTTTCGTATGGTGAGTGTAGAGAACTGGAGAGCCCTTTTACTGGACGAGGCGTTTCACTTAGTCCTCAGGGGTGACAAAATTTTGATCCTTAATCGAGAATAAATGTAGATGTCTATGGGCTACATCATTTATCATCCATCACCATTATGCGTGCTCGTTTGTCACCATTATTATATAAAAAAACGTGTGTGTGAGTGTTCGTTGTCAACCTTATAATAAAAAAAAAACTTTCTATAAAAAGATTTTAATAATTTCAATGTATAAAAAATATTTTACCATTAGATCTACGTCAGGAAACCTCCATCGCTTGCCATGTAATATATATATTTTTTTTATATATATATATATATATATATATATATATATATATAGCTTGCCAGGCAGACGTTGTTCTGCCCTTTTCGACGACCCTTTATCATGTCCTATTAAAAATCCTTGAATTCGCAAAAAAATTTGTGGGTCACTCATGGGCAAAAAAACTATCCTATCTCTCACCAAACCAACTGGACCAAACTGCACACGTTGTGCAAATTTGATGAAAATCGGTTAAGTAGTTTAGGAGTGCATCGCGGACAAACAACGTGACACGTAATTTATATATATTAAGATATACACTATACATAGCTGGCGATTGTAATCAACATAATATAGGTAGGTCGGTTCTCACCGAGAACAAATTTGATGACAATAACAGGATCACAACATTTATCATATGATAATTTCAATGGGTGTTTCATTAAAGCATAGACATTCTTTGGTAACCTTGTTCTTTTCACACCTCATCTCATGCATGCTTGATTTAAAATACTAATATCGACGATGAAGTACTGATAGTGTTACTATTCCAGTCATACGAATTAAGCGTAGCAATTACGGCTAGCTTATTTAAGAACAATTTACTTCCATGAGTGAGCCTTTTGCAGTTTAATGAGAAAGAGGTTGGTATCATGTAATTTTTTCATTGCCGTCCAACAAACAGCGGGGCCACGTGCAGGCGAGGTTGATATGTGCAGAAAAAAAAAGTAAAGTGATAGCATATTATATAAGCCCCACAATTGGGTAGAGACCGCCTCTGGTTTATAAGAGGGTTATAAACTTAGAGTATACATAACCAAGGTTATGAAGCAATTAGATCGCCGCTCCATTGAGTGTTGGCGGACTGCATGTCTTACGAAGACAGAATACAGACATAATTATTTATTAATTTAGAGCGAATGTTCTTATATATTTTATGTTTACTGGCAACGGTTGTGTTATGTATATATTTATCATTGATGATGCATCTGTTAGTGATTGTGTAACTTCTGACTTGACTGTTTGAAGCCATATTCACACAATAGTTTTGTCGATTCGGTGGTTGTAGTCTGTAGTCAGTAGTTATAATTAATAAATTCTTTATTTATGGATCAACATAACTTCTATTCACCATACAATATGTATGTTGGTTCAGTGTCAAATAAGAAAATCACAAATTTAGACCCTGAGACCTATGGCCGAGTTATTCATAAATTTCATATAGACACAGTAAAAAGTAACAAAATCAACTATCTCATGTATGTGAGTGAATAATTCGAATCAACAGCATTGTATCCCGTTACGTGCATTTTGTTATATCATCCACGCGCCACACATTCTATAACTGTAACAGTTTAAAGTCGCCCCCCGCGGCGGCGGGCCCGCGCCTTTGGCCACAGATTGGCAGATTGAGTGACGTCCGACGTCCTTATTGGTCGATAAGATGTGACAGATAAGAGCATCGAGCCGCATTAAAGCACCCGATGTCTCCTCGGACGGTTTTCGTCTTGTAGAAATTCAGAAATGGTATCGCCGCCACAAAAACTTAGGTCCGCTATCTGATCATCTCGTTACCATCATGGGAATGGAAACATCTGTCGGGTTCTCTTCGGAGTCTTTTAGCTTGACCATGCACGTGAGGGTTACTATTAATGTTATGTAATTACATCTAGGACTTTTTAGATATGCACTTGTGGCCTGTAATAATGTGAATATACAGAGCAGTTTAATTTAGTTGTGATAGAGCCATACAAACAGAGAAAATCCACGCCCGCATATAATAATCTTCTTCTTCGAATTAGTGTAAAATGTTATCTAACCACCGCGCCGTTCGAAAAGGGGTGAGTGGATTCTAGCTCTGATGGCTCTTTAATGGCGGTCAATGTTCTGGGCGGTAAATAGCCCAAGGCAGTACACCCGTACGGTATACGCGGTGTGGAGGAAAACCTAACGGTATTTGTGACACTAGCTGTGTGTTTAGTCTCTCCCGGATGTAGGGAGTATTCACGCTCGTCGCAATGCTTGGAAGGTGGATGGACGATCGCAGTGTGACATCTCGCAACTTTGACGCTGCTGGCTTTCTTGCTGAATAATCTACGAAAAGCCATAATATTACGTTGGCAATTTCCGTAGTCGCCTCTTACTACATCCTCGGGACAAAATGGGGTGAAATTTCTTACGCCATCACTATCACACAGCGCACAGAATACCGGCGTTAAATAACAGCTGAAAGCTTATGTGTTTCATATGGTGAGTGACGAGACTGAGACCCTTTTAGTGGTAACGACGCATTCCACCTTAGCTTCCGGGAGTGACAATACATCTGCAAATTCGTTTTTAATGGTGGATAGGTGTAGAGGTGCAGAATTTTATCGACGCCTAAAAATGCTACTAATTATATTATTGTAACGATACAGTTATATGTTAATTAATAGAAAAAGAAGTTATTTTGCGGAAATAAATTAGTTTAAATATATTAAATCAATTCACATTTTCTTTCATTAACTAAAATATAAATGTATCTTGTTTTATTTTCTAATTACGAAGGACATCATTTATAGTAACTAGATCTATCTATAACTTTATTCAAGGTCTACAGGTGATGGTTGGTAACCTGAGATACAGGTTTTGCTTAGTTTATACCAGTTTTTCACCTATAAATAGTATTGTTTCAGGTAAGCATATATGCATTGTTCCTTTCTATGTAATGTATAATGACCTCCAGACCGAATTTCAGTCACTGAGGCCAGCCTCAACGGAGGCTAGCCATCGGCGCAGGACAGGATTATAGTGCCCAAGTGTATGCGCAAGCACAGGTGCACTCTCTTTTCCCTTACTCTCATGGTCCGATGGGACGATAAACCGACACAACCGGCGAGAGATCAGGCTCAGGACCAAAGCCTTTACGTGCTTTCCGAGGCACGGAGATTTTTTGGCCCGACTCGGGATTCGAACCCAGGACCAGGACTTATGATCAGCAGTCACGCTACTACAAACACTAGACCAACGAGGCAGTTATAGTATATAGATATAATGTATGTTATTGATTTAAATAAGTAACATTTTCATTTCAATCCAATTAAATTTCTAAGCTAATTAATTTTAACACGTTCAACACTTATTAACAACAGCCGCAATAAATCATAAAATAATTGAGAGGTGTTATAAATACCAATTTGAATGAATCTCACAATCAACATTTAACACATATTTCATCAATATCAATATATTCAGATGTTCTACAAATTATAACAATCCTGGATACTATGTTTTGTATTAATCTAATTAATATAGCCCCATGGTTATCTACCTATTATACTCGTCAATTCTATTTGTAATACTTATCCTACAAGCATGTGGTGCATTTTAGAGCAGGAGGTATGTCAGGGTCGTTCCAAATGGAAGTCCAAAGTCTGTGTTCTCTTATGGGTGTCATGCGTGGGATGCTATGTACTTATGTATTTTGTATTTTTGTGGAAATGTTACCTGTTATCCTAGACATATCTCCTTTATAGTGAAGAAGTGTTACATACATAAAACAAAATAAATAAAAATTATTTGTTCTTTGCGAAATTTGAATCAGACGCCCAGAGCGCTGCAACGTAACTCGTAGCCACGGCTTCTTACTCGTAGCCATCTTTAATAGGTGGTGCCGAAACCTTTACTTATCGGGCAGACTACAAAGAATATATTTTTATAATTTATATATACATTAATGAAGTTAGTGTTGCCAGTTGTCTATTTCTATTGCAAGCAATCACGTAATAGTAACCGTTAACCCAGTTCCCAGGTCTTCACGTGTAGCGTGACGTGATGGTATAACACCAGCAAAACTGTCTATTAACATAATGCTTCTGAAGTAATGAAGCCGTTAAGAGCAATCTTCGTATGAGCGCTGGTATTAAGGTGGCGGAATATGTAGAATGCTATCTTAATGCATCGCAAGTCACGTAGCGAGCGTGGTCCTAAGATGTGACTCGACCCATCTATG